ACCGCTTTTCCCTTAAAATTCATTTCAGTTCCATCTTAAATAGATGTTTCATGTCGTAATACCGGGAAAATTAATAGATAATCACTATCAGGAGGTGTAATTCTGTACGTGTGAAATTTCGAATTTCCGGATATTGCAGTGATGTAGGTAAAAAATGCTTATATACTAAAAACCCTGCGAAATGTAAATTCTCTGTAAATATTCTTTAAATTATGTGATATAACCGGTATTTTTTAATCGTCAATTGATAATATTTTAATAGCGTGGATTTTTTACTTTAAAACTTTCTACTATGCTTATTACATACTTAATTTTCTCCCATTTCAAGCAATATTATCTTGCAACGGCAAAAATGACTTTTTGGCATTACGATCCAACGCTAATAGCACACGTTTATAATATTATTAAATTACGATAAAAAGTTAATTGTACGATTGCAGTCGAATGTTGAAATTACTTTTCAATATTACCAATTAAACATAGTGTATTGGAAACCTCGAATGAAAATACATTTTGCGGAATGATTCTCGGCAGCGTTAATTACTCATGAAATTTAAGAAGTATGTAATATAATCTAATAAATTACATCACAATCCAATACGTAAATTATCTGCATCGCGCATTAAAACTCATAAATTATTATTATTGTTGTTGTTGTTGTTGTTGTTGTTGTTGTTGTTGTTGTTGTTGTTGTTGTTGTTGTTGTTGTTCCTTATCAGGAAATTAATATATTTTTTTATGGATATTTTTGGGCATACGAGTATGTGCCCATTGTGTACAATGATATTTATAATCCATTCTTGTGGATAATTGTTATCTCTACGAAGAAGCTAGGAAATTTCAGGTACTATACGCATCTACATTGTTTCCCGGAAGCTTTAATTACCTGAATGTTCTGACCCACAATTGTTATAATCATAAACTTATGTATCATTTACGACTTCAGCCTTTCATACGCCAAATTTCAAAGGATCACTAGTAATAAAATACATTTTTCACATCATACAATAGAGGCAAACGTACATCATCAATTGGCAGATGTAAAACATGACGTTCTTCTCGGATCCATCAATCGCTTCTATCGGCTTACGATTGAGAAGAAAAAAAATGGATTAAAAATTATCGCGACTAGTAGAAGGGGAACCGGTTTTTCCGAATGATGAATAGTCAATTAACTCGGTATTAATTCGCAACAAATGATAATACACTAACGACTCAGGTTTGCTTTTAAATTGTCTCATTGTAAAATTAATGAAAATCAATAATTATAATCAAATGGCATTTCGTCGACTAGATAATTATAAATAAATATAAATTTACCAACAAACTCCCTGTCAAACATCAATGTTACATAATCCTTGTAAATGTAAAATTAAATTAAATTTAAAGTAATATAAAATATAAATAATTACTGAGATTTTTTTCTGAACAGAGGCAGAAACAGAAAAGATTATTAGGAAAGTATCGCTCACTTTCATCGATAAATAATAATAAAATATGTTCAATTTCTTTTTTTTTTCTTTTTTTTTTTTTTAACAAAAGGAAAATGAATTGGCATATGAACGACGCAGTTTTATCAATCTATCGAGGCTTTCAAATGAAATAAAAAATAAAAAATAAAAAATAAAAAATAAATAAATAAATAATAATAATAATAATACCGTGATGAACATCGATTGAATATTTTGTAAATAATTTCTATATCTTAAAAATGTTCTATATTATATTATATTCTTGGAGTAATAAGCAAATCTTATTTCTAATATTATTTCTAACGTCAATAATAATAATAATAATAATAAGGCATATCTTATCGAGTACTTTAACGTCGCTTCGATCACAAGAAATATTCACTACGCATTTAGGCTTCGAGATCATTTTGCAAACTCGTCATATAATACATTTGCCAATGTTCATTACCATTTGCTTGCAAAAACGGATGCACGCCCATGCGAGCGCACGTGTATATAAATCGTCGTAATTTTAACAAATTCTTCGCTAGCCGTTTTGAAAAATTAATTAATCATCTAAATTGGTGAAACAACTACATACTTTCGACTGACATATTCGTTAAATTAATTTTCATAAGAATTTTTATTGACATATTTTTTGCCTTTCAAACTACTCTGCCTGTTATAAGCTGCTGTAAATATTTATATTTTTAACAAAATGGAAACTCAGAGCCCCCCATGGCCTTCGTTTCACATATTATCATAAAGCTAAGATTAACTTTCTTTATCACTGCAATTATTATGTAGGAACGTAATTACTTAATTGGCATTAACTGTTATATTTATAACAGATTTCTAGGGCTAAGGACTTAATTACGCCATTGGCTAATTCGACAAATTCCAACTACTTGGAAATTGAGTATCAAACGTTGGTTATCATATTTTAGTTTATCAATTCGCCTAGATCTCACTACTTACTTTATTTATAATTTTTCAAACGCACGAGCAATGGACAAGTTGAAGTTGAACTCAAACAATTGCGATTAATTAAAAATGACTTTTTAACGTCAATAAGACGTAAAAAATTATGGAACGTCGATAATGACGTAGAGTAGCAGAATCGTAAGCCGAGAAAGCAAAATGAAATATTCGATAAATCATAATACGAGTGGTCGATGATGAATTTGCTGAAAATGAAGAAGCCACGATATATCTGGATATATAGCTCTCACGCATCGAGGATGCAACACTTTCTCATTAATCGAAGCTCTTAGCTTTTAATCAGTTTATCGTAATTCGTGTTAAAACATTTTCACAGCTCTCATCAATAATCCACGTAAATAGTTGTTGGCAAACGACAGTGGCATTGGATGCTTTAATTATACGAAATATCATTAAATTCGATGCGATTACCTCGAAAAGTGTGAGGCATATATATGGAGTGTAATATAAATTAAAGCCGATGTACATTATGCTCAAATCCTCTAAATTAACGTACATTATGTGGCTTTAAAGTCCGCAAAAATTTGTATCGCCCACCGTAATTGCTCTAAGCTCGGCCATAAATCTGCCCTTTAGACATTACACGAGCAATTTCGGCACGGTAACCGTAAATGCGGACGTTCGTCGCACTTGTAATATCTCCTCAAAGCGCCGCACCGAAGCATCCGCACGACAATGTCAGTCGACATCCGTTGTGTCCTAGTTCCGAGAACATGCATTTCCGGCGCATGGCAACACAGGTGTCTAGGCTCGGATCGTCGTCGTCGACTCCCTGGTGAGCCTCGGCCATTGTCGCGCAAACTACCTCGCGAGTCACTCGTCGACCTGGTCCGGCAAACCTGGTCGCCCGTGCGCGCCAAAGTCACCGAGGCGCGTTTTGCCTCTTGGACATAAAAGTCCAAGGAGTTCTTCGAGGTAAAAGAAACGGTTGCAACACAATTCGGTTAAGTCACCTGGCAATGCGGGTCAACCACTTGGCTTTGATTCGTCCAAGTAATTACTAGGAATTACTTTTCTCTATTTAAATACGGAAAGGATATAACATTTTTATGTACGATCTGAGGCTACTTTCCAATCAACCTTTCCCTACCTTATAAATTCATTATAAACCCTACTGGCCGTATTTAATTAGCGCTTTTTCATGCTTAATTTGAATAGAAATTAAGAAACGGATATTAAACCTCCATTGGCCTTATAAT